GGCCGCTTACTCGAAGAAGCTCTTTGCTAATAACATCGCTCCCCTCACCATGATAATAGAGAGAAATATTTCCCTGTCACAACCGCTGTCCCCATGGATGCTCTTCTACGACGAGACCCTCAATCCCTATTGGTGAAATAGTTTTAGTTGCTCCCGATCGTTTGAGTCACCATCGTTGCAGGTATAATTTTCGATCCAGGGAGTATGCTCGTTGCTTGGCAAACGACGTGCTACACCCTCCAGCTGACACTGAAGAGGATGGTGCTGGAGTAGACTTGCTGGCTACTCGGGCCGCCAAGAAATGCGCTAAGGGAGCGGTCTTCTATATCCATCCGCCGGTGAATATCAAATTTGCATCCCCATCTGCGGGTAGTGATGACGTGTTTGCCCCTAGCATTCCCAGACATACGAACGATACAGCTGCTGCTGTTGAGAACGATTTCAGAGGTGCATGAGGACACACACTTGGTTGTGTTGATAGTTCATAAGTCACGTTGGAGTTGAGACTGAGCCTCTTCGTAGATACCCTTCCGTCATGTCGCGCTCGTATTTGAGTGACACTCAGGGGCCAAACGTCTCTACTGAGAAACACAATCATATCGTCATCCATAACAACTGATGAACATGCATCTCGTTACACTACACAAAGTAGAATAAACATCTTGCCAAAGCACAAATCGCACATATGAGTATTCAACTAATTTAAAGACATTTGGAACCCGGCGCCGTTTGCCTACGACACTCGAGTATCAAGAGTTCTGAAGTTACCGCGCCACCAACTCATGAAGGTTTCGACAGCGTCAGGCGATCTTCGGAAAGACATGAGAACTTTCGTCCTGTCGTCGCGTTGTTGGTGGAAACCACTGTAGGTCTCTACGCATGTCGCCGTTAGTGTCGCGGCGACGATGCGACCAGATTGATCAGCTTTGCGATCCTGCATGAGCTTCTCATCGCAGTCGAACTTCACAGGATGATAAGTGCGCTTGCCGGTGTCACTGCCATAAAACTGGTCTGCGCGTAAAAACTGACATAGAATAAATCAAATCACGGCCATACAAAGACACCAGCTTACTTCGATGCGGCGAGAGGTGACATGACCATTGAGGTCAAACCTCACAGTAGCCCTCTTGAGTGGGTATATCTCCCCTCTCCCCATATACTGCTCGGGCGTAGACGAGATGTAATCAACAGTACGAATGATAGTGGGATCGATATCCACCTGACCATCAGGGCATTCCGCATGCAATCCGAATGATTGAGATATTCTCACCTCGTGGTATAATGAGCCCCCGAATGCGTTGGAGAAACCAATCGCCTTGGAAGGCGTGGAGAAGGCGACGGTAACGACTTGCTCTTTTTGTTCAGGTTCAGTATCACCATCACGTTTACCACATGTCAGCATAACTTTATACCTATTGCGTGCTGTGTACCTCGGGGCCTGTGAGACTTCGTTACAACTGTACTGGAATGCGCCGCTGAACTGATAAGCGAGCAACTTTATGTCTCGCCACATCGCTCTATGGCACTTACATCGAGCACGTACTCCCTCGGGAAGACCTTTATGTATGCCTCCGTCAAAGCAGCTTGGGTATCGCCAAGCGTAGCGTCTCCTTCCTCATCCGCGAAGTATAACGTGTGATCAATCCATACCTATCACAGGCGAGACACGAAGAGTTCGGCGATGATCAAAGACTCTCACCTTGTCAACAGGCAACTTGGCAAAAGCTCGCGCCATGGTGAGGGCTCCCTCTTCACTGCTGGCAATGAGCGTCACCTTATGGGAGTCTCCCAAGGTCATCTTATCCGCCGATAACTCGTTACAGCGCATAGTAACGTAATAGAAGAACTGCTTGAAGTAAACGCGGTGGGGCGCCTTCGGGTCGCATTTATAAGAGCTCGAACCAATCTGAAAATGAGGAGTCTCTTCATCAAACTGATTCTCAACCTACTTGGAGAATGCTTCCCTCCTCATGTTCGCCATCTGGATTCGCGACGAACATATGAACCTTGTTGGAATCCACTTTCGCAGCGTCGAGCCATGCTGCTTTCAATTGAGTGTGTAGGCTCGTTAGTTCTATACTCGCCTATGGATAGAAGATGTAACAGGATAACCGACAACCATAGAGAAGCCGCCTACCATCTGTGTGCTCTCCAGAGATCCCCACATCGTGGAAAGCTGCAAGGCACTCTGGGAGTCGTCGCACAAGACCTGGAGCCACTTTCTGCAACAGTATCACTAGCTTCAGGGTTTACCTCCACTTTGGTGTTCCCGCTCATTCCTTCAGCATTGTCACACTCTACGGAGACTTTGTATTTGTCAGCATTTCTATCGAGGGCAGAATAGGGCTCTGGCATAGAGCTCACAGCGCTGCAGGAAAGTAAGTAGTGCGAGTCTTCGTAACTGGGCTCATCATCATTTCTCAAAGTAACCTACCGAGACCAGCATAACGCTAAGTAAGACAGTCGCCATACCGTTAGCCATCGTTTCAGGTCCTGTCCCGAGCCCGACATAAGGGAGTACCCAGAGCTCTTCGCGAAGCTTGGTCTGTATGTTGCCTACTAGCCAAACTTATCACTCTAAGTAGGACTATTCACGTGTCACCTTCGATAGAGAGAATGCATTCGAGATGCCTTCCTGTCTCACTTCCGCACAAGAGTTGATCACTCCTTGCTGGAGGGCGATCTACAATGAGGGTGGTGGTTCCCATAGGCTGTCACACGTTCTGTGCGTTTCCGAGTAACCTACTGCTGGCTGGTCGATCTGTCCGAATGCAGCGAGTTGTAGCGCAGCTGCTGTGTCTTTACATTCGAAGTTCAACACCTGCGAGGAGTGGAAGACAGTAAGGATCTGCATGGCTTCACATGACTGACCTCCTCTCCGCACTGGGCGTGGAGTACGAGGGTTTGATGATCAGTGACCTCGGGAGAACCGAAGAAGTGTGTGCAAGAAACCCGTCTGGTGTTCGACTCGTCGGCGCCAGCGATCTAAGTAGAGATGGGAGGGCAAGAGCAAAGCGACATCTTACATCAACGACCACAGCCGAGTCCTGTATGCTCGCTGATGTCAGGCGCATCGGAGATGACTGACCGGATATCGTTACGACGTCGCATGCACTGCGGACTCTGCTGCTGACCTCCACCTGATGGTAGATAACCGCAGGGAACGATACGTCGGGACTTACCACAGCGTCCTGTTTCTCAAATAGAGGGCCCTTGCAGACACTGACAGCATCGGATGGAGTATCGCAGAGGAGTTCTAACTGAAGGATCGATACCAAGCAATGGATCAGCCATCACACAACGTCAAGATCACCATCAACGTCTCTCAAATCTCACCTTCTTAGGTGTTCCCGAAGTTTCCTCATAGCAGCTGATAGATATTTCCACTCCATCGGATCCGACACGTGGGTTCTGCTGCAGCCCATCGCAGTTGATTCGGGTGGAAGCCCCAGCCTTGACAACCTGGAATTTCAGTGTGCAATGGAGACAGAAAATACTCCGGGCGGGACTTGAACCCGCAACCTTTGGATTAGAAGTCCAACGCTCTATCCGATTGAGCCACCGGAGCTATAATATATGTAGATCAAGTCCGGCTTGTTCGAAGCATTTTTCAATCTTTTTGCCTAGACTCACCACGAAGCTCCTGCTATCTCCTGTCATAGTTACAGTCTGTTCCATTACAGTCCAACCCTCGTCGTTTCCGAGACGGGCGTTCGAACACACTCCAGAGGGAAGCTCAACCCCGAACTAAGTAGAAACATCGTATGCAGTCAACGACCATCCGCTGTTTCCGAAACCAACCTCAGCGCGGGGGTATGCACCCCAGCTAGTCGCGAGTAGCACGGCTGGGTCAGAGTCCGTGCAAGTGATTGTGACAGGCTTCGTTTCACAAACAACTGATATCTTGTACACACCGTCATCAAACTGCGGAGGTTTCACAACATTCGAGCAGCTGAGTTCCTTCTCTTCTCCGCGGACCTTTCACATACGCGTGACGGAAAATTCAAACTGGTTTGGATGCTCCTCACAACTAAAATCCTCTTCACTTCGCCGGTCCCTGTCTCTTTGCGTAGCCGAGCATGTTTGAGATCGTGAACGCCACCAGTTCCAATGACGGCGCTCGGACACGAGCCGATGAACCCCGCATCAGATTCAATCTGCGTGACATGATTAAAAAATGATCTCATGACGAAGGAGCGAGACAGTGGTTCAAGGATAGCCTAGTGACTCACATTAGCGTTTTGCATGCCGCCGAAATATCGAGCGAAAGCGATTCCAAGTTCTTGGCTCGGAAAGGTAACACGTACAATGGTGCTTCCACATAGGACCTAAGATGTGATCCCCTATGAGATATTGCGTTAGGTATGACGAAAGGCGAGACGGGGAAACCTTGCCTGGACATTGTAGGAAGTTCCTTGTGAAGTTATGTCCGAGGAGACGCCCTCACAATTATAGACGAAAGCTTTGCCACTGTCATCATTGATCTGAAGTGATATGCATGCGAATTAGATAGGCTGTAGTCTATCTCACCTCGATAACCCTAGTCTGTAGAGCTCCCGTGGAGGCATATACCAACTTAGCAACATTCACAGTGCCTGTGACCTGGTCCTGCACGCTCGCAGTAGAATCAGATACCATATCGGAGGACATGTAGATCTGATAACCCAGTAGTGTGAGCTACATCACAGAGATTAATTAAACCATGGAAATAAGGAGTGAATCATCGAGCGTTACAGTATCAACATACCTCGGATTTGGCAATATCTCCCCATCTCACAGCCCACTTCACCGCTGTCTCAGCACGCTTCAACACCAGTGTGGTCTGTGAATGAAAAGACCATCATCATATTGAACAGTAAATAATCCTACGTCAGCCGAGCTGAGCTTTTCTGTCGTCTTCCGCTCCCCTGAACACTCGGTTCGGAGGTGAACATCACCATCGATCTGCTGTTCCATGGCCGATACCGCACCGCATTCAAAGGCAGCGTCGCGTGTCTGGGAAGGTAACTTGAATCGGCGGCTCACTAGCCGTACTCTCTCACCGTGAGCACCCTGCCCGACAACTTCCCGGAGAACGTATCGCGGTAATAGCCAGCCGCGACCACACCCGCCATAGGCTCCGCCGAGTAAATCACTCCGACATCGTGGGCATTCATCTGGAGTGATGTTAATGAGCGATATGATCACGAATGCAGGGTGGACCCACTGGATTGTATTGGCCCCACTGCGAGGCGAACTCTTGTGCCTGTTCTCTTTTGGCGAAGACAACTTCAACTTCGTCGTTACTATCCTCAGGACTCGGGATGCGATTGCGGAGTGAAAGACCGCACGTGGTAACGACATGGAACTCGCCTGAATAGCAGAACGGATCCTCCCCCGACCAGTCAGGTAGAGGAAGCCGGTCTCACCGTTATCAGTTTCTTTAATAGTCTTAACCTTCGAACACACGAACCATTTACGGGATAAATCTCGATCGTCCTTAGTGGAGGTGCCAGCATAGCGGAGCTAAGGAGAGAGGTTAGGAAGGAACGACTAAGAGAGGTTTTACCCCGAGCCAGCGCATCCGAACACTCGACGAGCTCACATGGCTCTCGACGTTGGCTGCAGTGAGGGTGAACAGAAAGTGTTTACCGTTGTGGTGGAGGTCGACGCGAGTAGAGGCACTCACTAGGCCGAGATTGGTAGAGACCTATCCCGATGAGGACCAGTGACGAGGCTGGATTTCAAGACACCCGAGCGTTGGAAGATCGAACAAATGGAAGCGATCTACATCGTGCCGCTGCGAGACTCACCCCCGCCCGGAAATGTGACCACTGGGCCGAGAATCTCCATGCAGCATCCTCGTCATCGCAAATGATCCTTGTGGTGCGGTCCTGGCACTTGGTCTTAACTACGTACTTATCAATGCCTCCTTCATATGATACCGGCTCGTTCACACGTGCACAACGGAGCATCGAGCCTTCACTAGTCTGAGAGTAAAAGAAAACTCACTGGTAGCATAACCCATCCCCGAGGGGATCTTCCCAAAGGATGCACTTTCAAGCGAGGTGAAAACCGACAGAGCGGTAGGCTCAGTTGAACTATAGCTATATGAATTACGATATGTCGCCGTGATCCATATGATCGGGAATAGAAGTTTACGTTCTATGATCAGAGCGCATACCTACCTCGAGACGTCCAGAAGCGATCTTCCTCCCCAGGGACACGACGTCTGATGTCGCTCTAGCGATAGTATCGGCTTGTCCAGCTATCTCCATCTTAGAACATTTCCCGACGACATCTTCATCGACCTGAAAGACCCGTGACTGGACCACAAGGAGGATAGACGAACCTTCTTGAAGCCGCCCCAAACAGCAGCAAATCTCTCGGCACGTTGATAGGCATCGAACGGTATGGTATGCAGCTGTTTGTCGCATACCACTACGACGTCAGCAGCATCACCCTTGTAGATGACGTCATTGACGGCACGGCAGATTCTTGCTTTGTTGTCCTGGAGCTGAAACACGGTTCAAATCCTAGCCATCGCATTTTTATGCAATTAGTGAAGGGCCGAGGCACCCGACGAGACTTACGCGGAGAATTCTCTTCCTGGCGCGTCCCGTGGAAGGGCTGACGAGGATCTCAGCGGCCTTGATGTTCGACCCCCCGACCATCCTCGCCGACATCGGTACCTCAACAAGGAAACTTCGAGCCACTCACCGTCACGGCGCCACGAAATTGCCCACCTCAGTCGTATAGCCTCCCCATATAGTAGCGAAACTCATCGCACTATCTTTGCTTAGGAACTCTATATCGAAAGTCTTCGTCTTTTTTGAGTTCTCCTTGGTACAAGTGACCCGGAGCTTCCAGTTATCGCTGTAACTAGTAGGACCAGAAGTCACTTGTTCACAGTACGCATACGTCTTGCTGCCGATCTGAACATCCACATTACTCAAACTCACGAGCCGGTGGAGCTACCTTGAGATATCTCTTCACTGCTTTCCAATTTTTGCCAAAGTTAACATGAGCAGCCGTCAGCTTTTTCTTGAACAGAGCAAACCGCGAGAAGGGGTTCTTCGCGACACGTCCCTCCCTCAAAACGGTCGCATCCACTTCATACTGAGAAAGGCAATCAAACAACGAAGCTAATGACTCGCCATTATACCGCTTCGAGATGACCCCACTGCACGGCGAAGTCCACAGCGGCCTCCTCGTCGGGGAAATATAGCGTCGTAGGTAACCCGTCGCATCTAGTGAGCACTTCGTATTGCAGTTCCTTGTTCCTTCTTGGGGAGCTCCTCACTCGTTCACAGGAGTGCTTCGTAAATGTCCCACGGTCGTCCCCGATGGTCTGCATTAATGGAAGTGTCTCGAGACCACCAGCGTGATCCGAAGTTACCCAGAGAGTATAGGGATAGTCCCGAGCTGAGGTCGCCTTAGCCAAGTGACTCTTCGTCAAGCGCTTCCCCTTTATCACGATGCCGCCACATAGATCGGTAAGGGCGTCGGCAGCCTGAGGGTGGCAAAACTCATACCACTCTTCCACCACTTCGTGGCTTCATACCTTGTCTTGTGGAGGGCTTTCCTCATGCCCACCTACAGCAACGAAGAGGAGGCTCCCAATAATGATCAGCATAGAGTTTACGGATCCCATTAGAAGCTTCCGCATTCAGTTGGCGACTAATTCCTGGGGCAAACTGAAGGAGTCACTTTCACACTGTTGACAAATCAGCACGATTTTTCGTGCACTAGTCCCGCGTCCACCGTGGGCAGGAGTTGCCGTGCGATGATATTGACAAACGAGACAGCTCAACTGCGCTGAATACACGGAATAGAGCAAACATCTTGCGCATCTTGCTAATCTTGCAAGTACTCAACTTTTCACCATCATTCTCATCGAAGTGGAGAATCATGGTCAATACCATTGCTCATGGTCCCCTTATCTCTTTTTGCTGCCACTAGACAGCTTCTTAGATAAGGCCTGCATTTCCTCATTCTGCTCCATCTCTTTCATCATACTAAAAAAGTTCTCCGCTCCGCCCATTTTCGCTAATGTATCGTGATCTACGGACGCTTTCAACTTACCTGACAATTCAAATCTCGCCGACCCAACTACCGATACTAAAGTGCTGAGAGAACAGCGGAGCGTTCCTAGGAGGACCAAATTAGTGATTCTAGGTCCCACATGCATTCCACGTCGATTCCACGTCGATTCCACGTCGATTCCACGTCGAGTGGAAGCAATACAAAGTAATATCCCACAGGACGGTAGAATGCTGACCTTACTTATCACTTGTTGCGGATTCCGTACCATGTTGGTAAGGTCTCCAGCCTTCGAGAGGAGACCTGTCTTCCCCATACGTTGTAGCATCTTCTGCATCTTCTTATGCTCTTCTATCAATTCGATGACGGCACTGAAACCACAAAACTGCAATCACTGATGTGCTTACCCCACTTGGGCCTTGTTGAACGCCAACAGCAGTATTCACTGCACATAGACACTTACTAGGGATGGCTGCCGCTGCCTCTCGATATCCTCATTATCCTCGTGCCTTCAGTGATCGGCTTCGCTGAGTCCATTTCAGCTGCTGTCAACGAGTCCATCATAACCAAGAACCGCTTGATGCGCTTCACTGAAGCTTCATCGGACATCGTAGGAAGACTACTGCCGCCTGAGCCCATAAAGGTATACACCGCCACATAATTGGGCATCCAGCATGTTACCCATGCCCGGTAACATGCTCAGCATCTTCGACATGGATCCCATGTTCATCACCGCTTGCAGCTGTGAATACAGATCTCGCAGAGTGAACGCCTTACCCGCCTGGAGTCGCTCCATCGTCTTCTTCTGCTCGTCGATGTCAACAGCGTTGGCAATGCCTGAATGAAAGTGGCATTCGAAATACACCACAGAGGCACTTACTATCTGCTAAACCGGCCAAGTCACCCATTCCCAGTAACCGCCCAACGAAGCCCTTCACTTCGAACCTTTCGAAGTCATCGAGATGCTCACCAGTACCTAACAAGCAGAGCGTACGAAGGCATGATGGACATTCACGACTTAACCGATGAATATAATGGGAGAGTCTGTGGCAGCTACAGCCGATAAAGCGCCACCACCCTTCGCATGTCCATCCAGCTTGGTGATGATGACCGACCCAACATCCACCGCATCTGATCACAGCGCGCTCGAAACACACAATTTCCGGAAGTGATGGGGGGGATTTGTACTCGAGAAGGCTGCTGCCTGAGCGCTGCAAGCCTGGCCAATATGGGAGTCCATCACGAATATCACATCATCAGCTTCACCGCTTCTGACACCTGATCGACGAAAGCTGTGCGAGACCGGTGACTCGCAGCGATTGATCACCACGAGAAGTGTGCCAATAGTATACCCGTTTGTGGAGTAGCTGTATTCGAGTCAATTTAATAGTCGCATTCCGATGATCCCCTCACAACCCAACGATGTGTATACAATGATCGAGAGGAGACGGCGAAGAGTATCGACTCAGCTGAATAGCAATCACCCGTAGTCTACTCATCAATTACGATAGTTTTTTGCACTTGAGACTTATCGCAAGACTTGCATACTAGCAGTGGCGGCACACACCGTATTCCCACGACATTTCCTAACCCCCATTGCCTCACCTGTTTCATCTCATCGAACAGTGCCAACTCTTGCTTATGCCGCCCTGAAGTGTCGACAATGATAAGGTCGTATCTTGGGATTGGATGACGTATTATAATACCGAACCAGTCGCGACCTTACCGCTCCTCTTTGAAAAGCTCCACACCTTCTGAAGCCACCTGTACCGGGTCTGTTATAGTATGGCTGCCATAGAAGGGGATAAGAGCTTTAGTCGCGTTCTGCCTCAGTTGATCGAACGCCCCAGCTCTGAGATGGCTTCACTACATCCAGTCCACGATGGTCCTGTAGCCCACCTAAATGTATCAGCACAGACTAGCGCCACCTTCCATCCTCGTCGTTGGTAGTACAGGGCGTATCTAATACGGCTGATAGTTCAAATAGTTAATCTGAAGGTTGTGAATTTCACTTAGTGCATGATGTTGTCTTGCCACTGCCCTGCAGACCGACGAACATAACTACATTGGACCGGCCCTTAGTGAGTGTCCGAGGTGCCCTAGAAGGCGTTAGTAACTGGAAGTGACATCGTCGTACAGATTTGATAATTCTCGGAAGTTTCCCACTTTAACAAGCTCATCGAAAACGAGTTTGCGCACAGTCTTATGCCGATTAATCGCCGCGCCCTCGTAGAGCTTCATCTGTGTTCTAATACTCTGCCGCAGCTTCGAGACGTACCTTCATCGCAGAAACAGTTTCCCAGATACTGATAGATATCGAGTTCAGGGGAGAGCCGGTAAGGAAGGTGGTCTCACTTGACATTCACATCAGCCTGGAGCAGAGCTTTAGCGATCTCCTTCAGGCACTCCTCCAACGGCTCGTCATCCTCCTCATTGAGTGAAGAAGCCGCCTTCTGCAACGAGCGCAGCGCTGAGGTCAGTTGGCTGCTCAAGTCGTTGAGGACCATTGGAGAAAAATGACCAAAAAATCTGCGTACGGCAGTTCCTGTGAAACTCAGGAACTTTCCTCCTCCCTTTAACCAGACGAACACTCGAATAGCTGCATGGCTGTGCCTTCAAATAGTGGCCGGCTCTTGCTGGCTTATACAGTTAATCATCACTCGAGAATAGACTGTGAAAGCTCCAGAGCTAATAGGAAGTAGTTTTATTATGTTCTGATGGGCAAGACGAATTCCCCATGCACAGACAGTTCTAGTCTCAAACTATCAAACACATGTTCATCCATAAGGTTTCCTCTTCGAAGAGGACCCCATGGTCCATGGGCCATAGATAAGCATGTGTGATGGAGCAGCAGAACTAATCCGGCGCATATCCCCTGGCTACCCCATCACTGATCGCTCTGTCCGGCAGTCATCCGAACTAATTTGGCATTAATGCCATCCGAACAGAAGATGATCGCCAGTGAAATGAAAAAGGTCATCTCAGTGATACCAGAGTCACATTCAAACACCAGCAATCCCCGCCGTTCCAGACTGTCATTAATGCCGATATAACAGTCCATCTGAAGTCCTGAAGTCCTGAAGGTCGCTGGTTCAAACCCCGGATGGTGTACTTGCCAACTTTAGCTCCTAATTGTTGATGCCAGTGTCGCCCAACAAGAGCTACAAAGCCATAGCAAAGACGCCCTGACTCTCACGTAAATATCGCATGACCACCCAACAGACCTTCAGCTCATTTAGGTCAACACAAGAGAATTCGGTCAGAACAGTAAATCACTTGGGCGACGCAGTTGCTATTCCCAACGCCTTTTCCATTGAACAAAAATACGCATCGTTGCCGGCGGGTCCTTCTGACTGCGACCGAGTCCCTCTGACTTTCGCTGTTCGAGTATTCCCATGAAGACGCTCATAAGGCTCCACAATAACCACGGCACGCAGCCGGTTGAGATCCACCTGCAGGGACGATGAGTAACACAACGTAACAACTATGTCCATTCATTGGATCGACGAGAGAACACTGAGATGACTTGCCTTCCCCGCTCGCAGATTCCGATTCGTCGTGTGGGCATGCTTCAGGCGTTTAACTGCAAGTCCATCGGCAACAGCTTCCCATGCAGCTCGTGAGATAGGCTCAGCCTCGGCCTCTTGGAATGACGACATGAAGGGCTTCTGCGTAAGTGGGTCAACGCCGAGCCGTACCAGTTCATCGAGCATCTGAGCGAAGACTATCTTAAGAATCATCTCCTAAGATACCAACTTTACCTCGACGGGCCTCCCAAAAAGTACAATGGCCTCGCCCAGTTTTTCAGCTACTCTCCAAAACTGCTCCAAGTTGACTATATCTCCTTGAGCAGAGTTCTGAACAAGACGAGTAACAACACCTCAGCGCGTGTGTATGGATTGCAAGCCGTAAACCCGTCAGCACCTCTTCCGGCACCTGCAGGGCGAACGCGTCCACATTCGATACCACTGCAGCAGCACACGCTCTACCTTCCGTAGGGAGGCAGCCTGAAAGGAGCGTAAGCGAGACTCGTGAGGGACTTTGAATTCTACCGAGCTCGAAGAGGACTTGCACAGCAGACATTAAAACGGCCCGCTGTTTCACAGGTGAGCCAAAGTCGGGCTTCAAGCCGACCATCAAAGCCTGGGAGCAAAAGCCGACCGTCAACTGTCGAGGGCTGAGATCCGAGCTAATGCTACTACCTCCGAGGCTTGTTTCCGTAGTAATGACGAACTGTGGTGAATAAAGGCAACCTCCTTGGATATCGCAGGTAGTCGTGCGAGAGTGTCCGCTTCCATTGACAATGCTGAATAGAGCAACCAGCTGATTGACGTGAACTACTCCCTCCCGAGATAAGCTGATACAAGGGGAGCTCAGAGGTGGGAAATCTCACAAGCTCAAATGACAATGATTTTCCTATTATTGTCATTCCGACCTATAGTGGAGGAGTAAGGACACGGACAACACCCTCCCACAGAAGTCCTACACATCTGGAGCCCATAAGCTAGGATAGCAGCTTTGGCAGAATGCGGCCCAAGGCTCGGCCGACCTGGAATGAAGAATCAGTGCCATCGCAGTCACTCCAGATGAGAGTCGTCACCATCAAATGCTGATGCACTTTCCGCGTTAGCCGCTTGCATTTGCATCCTCAGTTTCCGGACTCCCAGGAGCAACTTCTGAGTACTTCTCACTAGAGCTGCTGCCTTTTGGGCTCTCTCCAGCGTGTCCAACCTGAGACACTCCTATTTCGAACAACTCATCCACAGGACCATGGTTCGATCCCCGGTCGTGTTACCTTCTCTTTATGACTTTGAACGGAGCCAATGCCTCAGTCTGTACATTGTCCAGCGTGGCTCTCAGTACAGCGACAGACTCCCGGACTTGCCTAAGCTCGCCGTCCACCCGGTCCAGATCTGAAGTCGCGACCATAACCCTTCCCCCTGCTGAGCCTCTCCCTAACTACCCGTCGTGTCGTTGAGCAAGAGCTGATCGTAGCAATCTGCCACTTTACTACGAAGCTGCTCATCTACCGTGAATATAGCTTGGTCCAGCTGGGCTATCACTGCCTGATATGGACCAGCACTTCGAGTAGGAGCACCACCGACTACCGTACCCACCCCAACAGCTCCACCACCTGCTGACTGGCTCCTTCTTCGAGGAGTAGCACCTAAACCAATCACTTCTAGGTATCAACGCTTCGAGAACAACTGTCGGTGTGGTATCACCTCCACTGGGCGAACTACTTCCTTTGCTCTCCGCGTTAGCTACCATCTCTCGTACAAACTCAGCCACATCGAAGTCCGGGGACATGAAGTTCTCCAGCAGTCGACTGTATGCAGCAGCAGCCGCTGACATGAACGAACTCCCTCCCTCCCCCCAGCCCATCTCACACCGCCATCCCTCTCTACTACCTGGGTCATTCCCTTCAGTCAACCTGCTTGCCGATCGTTGCCGAGGGCTTATCACTGTCATTTTAAAACAACCCTGTACCGTCGCGAGCGCCGATCACATGGGATGTTTCTCGAGAGAGATCATCCTCCTTCCCCACTTGATTTATCACTCTAACAAATCAACGCCACCACTGTATCTCGAAGCATGCTAGACTGGATTGTGCAAACTGTTGGGAACCTTCTAGTACAGTCCGTTGCCGGCAGTTGCAGGCAGCAATAACAAGAGCTGCGAAGACAATATCATCGGCCTGAGAAACTCTTTTCAAGTGAGTCCCCTATGTCAACGGTTACTGAGAGCCTTCAGTTGCCAAGGTCTCACAGGAGTCGACTCGTTCGAACGCAATGCAACGGTTCTACCACAATTATGGTTCGAGGCCAATACACGCAGTGTCACTATGACGATCGTATTGCTCCATCGGGATAGGAGGTATAGCGCTGACCACGCTCTTACCAAATTCACTACGCGTGTTGATTGTAAGGATGGGGAGAAGACATCCAGCGGGTATTGACCTCAAAGCACACCGGGTCGTTGATTCCAATCACTGTGCAGCAGGGATGCAGACGAGGTGAAGTTGCAATGTTCGAGGTCCTTGGCGAAGGGATGACTTACGACGAGAGATTCGCTTTGACTTGTCCCCAGAGATGAATTTCTGGGAACCTAGCACCGGTGTCGAGTCCGTTACATGCAAGCACCGCTCCGTTGCAAAAATGAGTTATGTTTACCATTTTCACAGTCGCGACGCGATATCCCCAATTGTAGGTTTCATGTTTCTGTATTCCCTCCTCCTCCGAGACCTATTAATCTCCCTACTACTCTCATCACCGACTCAAGGAGCCAGACACGTCCCCCTTTTTGATGTGCCGTTCTCAACCTACGCCAACTTCTTCCCTCTAGTCCAGCCCAAGGCGCTGAGGTACGCACACCACAGGGACTCACAGTACTAGTCCTTGGTACAGTTACCATTATCGATCCATATGCGGCCGAGACACGGCGAGATTCAATACAGGATTAAGACAACTATCATTGCTACCCAACCTCCCAACGTAGGCAGCGACGGCACGATCCGAACCTAAAACACGCTTGAGCATGCAGGCACGTCCGTCACATGGGTTTCGATGCACTTCTCTACTTCTGTGAATACGAAAACATCCTGTCTGAGGAGATTCCTCTCCCTCTATGCGATAAACTAGTATACTATGGAAACAGGTAGTGCCAGCGGCGAGTGACTGAGTGTAGAGAACTTCCCAGTTACATCTATCATGAGATCTATTTCAACTGCCTTCGGGCAACAGGCATGTACGACGATTTTGAGGAGCCTCTCTCTCTCGAAAGTTCACTACTCGTCCAGGATATCACCAACGCGTTTGGCGGTATGAAGGAACTGTTTGAGGTGAGTGCACAGCCGATGGCCGCTTCACATACCACACCTCAGGAACTTTTAGAGGCTGCTCTCTCGCTGGATGGATACGGTTGGGTTTGGTTACTTAGCCTTCCGGAAGGACTCTCCGTGATAACGTCTCATGATTATGATGGCATCCATGGTGACCAAATTTACGCCATTTTCAACGTCGATCTTTGGGAGCATGCGTAGTACTCGCCGCTGCTGCTGGTCGTCGACTGTAATAGAAGAGGACTGTCCAGATACATAGAGAGCCATGGTGCTGATGTTGAGGCGTATATAAAAGCCTGGTGGGGTGCAGTTGACTGGAACAAGCTTGATGTACAGTATATAAGGAAATTCAGGTGGAGATATCACTACTACTATGTCGTTCAAGGTCACTATTATTCAGGCAATGGTCAAACCATCCGATTCGACCCGAGCCTATGCATTCCCCAGAGCCAGTCATACTGGACACAAGTCAGACTCGCCTTTACGCTAGTCTGATAGACGAGGGGATATTGTCAACTTTGGTGGGACTAGTAGAGTCAGGTGAAGCGCTGGTGGCTCTAACAGCACTGCCGCATGGCATACCTCTGTTCGAGTATCCCAAGGAAGCCTTATTGCGTGGCTCCCTGCGGCAGATCTTGGATAGTCTGCGGGAATTACAGCAGTTGGGTTTTGAGGGGCTCTGGGCGGCCTACTCAGATGAGGCTCGAGAAAACGCACCACTGAGGAGTGCAAGCTCGATACTACATGACGTGAACGGTACTTTAGCGGAAGCCTTAAAGGCGATCAGTCCTTCCATATACAGAGAGGTAGTGAGGGCGACTAGACTATCAGTTGTTATGATCTCGTGATCCCTCGATATATCATGGCTCCATTGGATATCCTTGTGTCACCACGTAGGGGAATGATAGTGTCACATCACTGCTAGATTAGCCACGTTAGGAGAAATTTAGGCAGCCAGCAGTGTACTCTAGCGGCGTATTTGATATGTTATTTTACCCTGGTTCGGGTGATTCACCTACCACTAGTGCATGTAGGAGAGGATTGTTACTCTGTCGATAATATTGAGGATCTACTTCTTGCTGTAATAAACGCATTGTAGGTTGTTGAGGAAGCTCAATTGGGTCCATCATCATCAGCGTCAGCAGATGATGACCTGTGGATAAGGGCAGCCGTCATCAGCGATAGCTTCCGCCTCGGCTATGGAACGTACTGGAGCAGCTGCCATAGCAGTTCCGTGATCTTGTCAATCTCAGATGGGCTCTATTGCCGGGATCTCAGCTCATTCGCGGACGCGAGTCAAGAGGGAATGTCCGAGTGACTGAAAGAGATGGACGGCTGAAATTGGTTGCATCCTCTGATATAGAAGTCGGCGACACCTTGTCCTTGGAGTCGCAGGGGTCGGCAAGTTTAGCAGCAACCCAAGGTTTACCGAAGTCGGGCCAAGCACCCTTGGGGGCTGAGATTCAGATCGCAGCATGGGACCAAACGAACGGAATGTCCAATCGATGTCGGAGATTACTCACCTCAACGTTTTTGATTTCTGGTGCATCTCCTATACCGAGGGTGGTGCTTAAATGTGTGAGGAAGGCCCTGAGACCTGCAGCATCTAGCAAGTTCGCATTAGAGATCGCTACTTACCAGCTGCTGTCGGAGGCATGCCGTAGTGCTCTAACGCGAGTGATGGTCCTTGAGACTTCGCTGGACTCTATCGTGCAAGACTCGGCCAGTTTGATACGCTGTATCAGTGAAAGCGAGAAGAGAATGGAGATTGAGGAGGATC